CCAGCGTGGCACCTCTGGCTGTAGGGCTGGGAAGAACAGCCACCACCCTGCCGAGGATGAGGGCGGGGGGTGGCTGATACACCCCTCGTTCTGCCCCTCTTGCTGCCAGCGCGGAGGTCGTACCTGCATCAAGCTGTGCTAGGAAGGCAAGCGGGACCCTGGACTCTTAACACGTGGATGTTTTCCAAGGGTCTCTGCGTTTTCCAGCAGATCGCCGTTGCTCCGTGTCCCCCATCCCCTGTGCTGTCCCGGCAGTGAGAGCTTTGGCTGCTCCTCCTCTTCCCACTTGCTCTGGGTAGGCAGCAGTGGGCAAGGTCCAGATCGCTCCTTGCTGACGTTTTGGAGTACAGCTCGAGGGAAATCGAGGCTTGCTTTACCGTCTCAAGAGGAGGGTACCAGAGCTGTGTGCGGCAGGGCAGAGGCTGTGGAGAGCCGGTGTCCTGGGGTGGCTTCTGTGCTGCTTAGAGGGGAGCGTCTGGTACCCACTGCGTGCCCGGGGGCTGGCTGGCCCGGCCCAGCGGCGTTTGTGAGGCTGGTCTGACGCTTCGCCGCTGGGGTGGAGTTTACTGGCACAGATATTGCCGAAAGGGAGGGAGGTGGTGAGCGTCCCGGCCTAAACCTGGGAAAGCCGAAAGGTGTGCGGGTAGGTTGGAGGCCAAGACGCTGGTTTTGGCAAGCGTGCGCCCGGCCCTTCGGGAAAGGGGCTGCGCTGCGCTCCTTGCGCCTCAGTTTGCCTCCAGAGGCAATACCTTTGTCGCAGGCTGGATCAGGGAGTTACTGGCTCAGAGCTCTCCAGGGCAGGTGTCACGGACCCAGCCGTCCCAGCACCCGCTGCCCGCAGGGGAGGATACAGTTCACGTGTGTCCCTGCGTCCGTATCTCACAGTTGGCTGCTGGAAGATTTCTTGTGCCTCCCTCACCAACGCCTGCTCCGTGGCACAGGATTTGCCTCAGATCTGGGTTTTTACTGTGGCTGTTCACGTGTGATGTAAAATGAACAGCAACGCTTGGACCGAGTGCGAGGAAACGTACGTAAACCGCGTGGGAATGCCGCCCCAGGTGAAATATTTCAAAATACGAAGGTAAACAAAATTCAGATACCAAACTCGAACATCCATTCTGGGCACTAATGGTTGTCTTGCCTCCGGATTGCTGTAAGCAGCAGTTGTGAAGGGAGGAACACAAAATGTGTGCTGCCTTAGGGATACGGATAGCGTCTGAAACGGTGCCAGCTTGGGATCAAAGGAAAACGCTGCCTCTGCACCGCTCAGCTCTGCCTATTTGTAGCTTTTATCTGTGCCTTGCAAAGTTAATTTTATCCGTCTGCGTCTCAAACAGGCAGATTCAAAGGCTCTGACTGCGTATTCTGTGCTTGTGTCCTGTGGTATTTTGGGATCGCCTAGGTGTTCGGAGCTGCTGCCGCAGAGAGAGGAGAAAAGGTGTCGTGCACTTGCGGGAGGGAGTTCTTGGGATCTTACCCCGATAGTACCAGCTGGCCCTGGTGGTCCTTGCCGCTTAGCTGCTGACCGCCTCAAACTCATGAGCCTTCTCCACAGGGCATCCAGGCGTACCGTTTCCATTTTGGTTGCCCACAGGTATCCCTTCCCCAGGGTCTGCAGCTTCTCAACAGATGAAATACCCCTCCTTTGGCAGCTCTGCTTGGTTTTGTTTGGCACTGGAGGCAAATCTAAGTGCCAAATCAAAAGTCAAATGCTACTTGGGTATAGCCAGAGTGCTAGCTAAAGCCTGGAACAGGTTAGGCGGGGTAAGGCATGCAGTAAGGTGTTTCCTCAAATGCCTCTGGGTGTTTTACCCAGAATTAGTTCTGGCACGTTTCGCTGCTGAAGCTGGAACACTTGTCTGGTTTGCCAGGGGGTGCCCTTGGCCCTGTGTCACCAGCTGTCTGCGCTGCTGACCTACCCGATGAGACCGGGCTGGGTTGGGTTTTACGCTGTTCCCGTATCCCACAGCGTGCTTTGTGTGGGTGATATGGTACTTACTGGGGAAGGCTTGGACACTGGGTGGGAGGGGGCGTCCGCAGAGCGGAAAAGGGAGCGGTTTATTTGAACAGAGGAAATCTGTTTGGCTGAGGCACTCCACAATGAAACGGTTTTTAAGCCGTTGTTCTGAGGGCACAGATCAAAAGTTCTGGTGAGTTTATTGCGATGGTCCCTCTCTATGGCTCTTCGCTCAGCTGATTTGCACTGGCCCGTGCGGGGAGAGCACTCCCTCTGCTGTCTGAATAAACCGTTGCTGTGTGAGTCCGAACCGCTGCCTGACTCCCTTATTCTCTCCCCCATTTAGATTTTGACCCTGCTCTTGGGATGATGACTGGGATCCCTCCAATCAACCCCATGATGCCGGGCTTGGGGATAGTCCCACCTCCCATCCCGCCGGACATGCCTGCTGTGAAGGAGATCATTCACTGCAAAAGCTGCACTCTCTTCCCACCCAACCCACGTAACTGTCTATTTACGTTTTGTCCTGTTCCTGTGCGTGTCGGGGGGGGTGTGGAAATGTGTGTGAGAGAGGGGCCGTTACGTTGCCTGGACGCAGCAGCTCTGGGGCGAGCCACCATGGCCTAGATGCTGGGGAGCAGTGACTGGAGCGATGGGGAAAGCCTGTTGTCGTCATGGAGTGTTCGCCGTTTCAGTAAGCAGCCTTTCCAGTGGGTAGACTGGTGAGGCCTGGGGAAGACAGCGTTCCAGTCCCTGCGTGTTTGAACTCTAATCCTCACGGCTGTTGTGTTGGAGCACAAAGGAATTTGGAGAAAACACCCCCCGTTGCGTTCCAGCCTGCCCTCGGGTCCCGGAGGGGCTGGGGGCGGCCACGCGTAGGAGTGCGGACGCGTTCACCAGGGCTGGCACGGCCGGGTTGGAGATGGTGCAGGTTGTTGGAGCAGCAAAGATCCACAAGTTCTGTGGCTTGCCGGTGATGAATTCACTGTCTGCAACGCACCTCGCAGAGAAGCGTAACACGGCCTGGCTGTAGAACACGGGAGGTTACAAACGCGACTGCGGAGATTTCGGAGTTCCTGGGGAGCCCTCGGTGTAACCGAGTGTTGGGGTCTTACCCAGAGGTGTCCCTATGGGGGGAAGAGAGGCTCAGCCCGTTGACTGCTCCCAAAAGTCTAAGGTGGTCTGTGACTTGTCAGCGATGGTGTCTTCCCTAACAGCCTCCTCTCTCAAGCTGTTTTTATACTTTTTTTTTTAGTTTTCAGGTGGAGCTTGAGTGCCTCCAGTCGTACATACCTGTGTAACGATTGGTGTAACATTCTCTCACTTCGCTTTTAAAGGTAGGGACTAAAGAAGTTCAGGGCACAAGCTCCATGAGGGGTGGTCGCCCCTTGAAGGCGGGTAGCTTTTGGGGTGGAGGCGTGTTTTGGTATTTTAGTGAGATTATATTGAGCAAAGTTCACCCAAAGGACGGCATTTGGTCAGAGAGTGACAGGCTGTTGGCCCAGGGTGGCAAACAGGCACCTTATCAGTTCCGTGGTACCACCAGGCTCCCGTCCCGGGGGTGGTGTCGCAGAGCCTGGCCGCGGCGTCTCCGCTCTCGTTGCCGTTTCTCCCGGAGTCAGCACGTTGAGCTCCCCTGGTGCTGCCAACACCCCGGTGTCCTGGGGCACTTCGGTGGGATGGGTTCCTTGCGTACCCACTGCGCTCCGCTTCGGTGCCTGTCCTTGCTGTGTGAACGGTGCTGTGCCCTCAGAGGTGGGAGAGAGAAGTAGGAGACCCCATCTCTTGCCTTGGGAGGCTGGCTGCAGCCGTTGCGGTTAGGACGGACGTTTGTCGGTTCCGTACTTAGCATCCAGTCCAGTTCTTTGGTTTAGAGTTTGGGATTTTCCTGGCTGAGGGAGTTCCTGCTGCTTGTATTAGTTTCCCTTAAAAGACTCTAGATCGCCTTGATTACTTTTTTTGGTCAAATCTTACTGTGCCCTCGTTCTTTCCGCTTCAGACTTGTGCGTTTCTATGGCAATCGGTTCCTTTCCTGTTTCTCGCAGACTCTTGTGTGTATTTCTGAAGGCGCAGAGACGTGCTCGGTCCCCTTTCCAAGAAAAACTGCTGCTGATGGCAAAGTAGACAGAGGGAATGTTTGATAAGGTTGTGGAGGTGTATGGGAAAGAGGATTAAACTTGGATTTCACGTTTTCAGGGAAAACCTAGCCGTTGTGGTCAGTGTTATCCTGAGAGGGGAACCTCAGCGTCTCGTAGAGCTTACAACTCCTTCCTGGAGGCCCTTGCTACAAGCTGGTGCTGCACGGGGTGAGCTCCTGGCCGGGTGCTGCCTTGCAGCCTCTGCTCTTGGGAAGTGAGAGCAGGATGTCAGAAGGAGCCGCTGGTGCAGAAGAACTGGGGTTTACAGAGAAGAAGGTTGAGGATGTTGTTTCATAAGGCTGTAGCAGTGGTCAGGCTCGATGTGGGGACCAAAAGGAGCCATTTCCAAACAAAGAGAAAATAATACTAATAATTGCTTTTGGAAGAACTTTGCTGGAAGCACGCCAAAGAATTAAAAGAATGTAATACAACTGTTTTGTTAAGTAAATATGCAAGTGGTGTAATTCTGGGAGCTTAACCGGGGCGATGGATCTCGGCACTGACATTCATTTAGGATTTTCCAGATATTAAGACACACCAGGTAACAAGTGCATGTTCCTTCTCAGCCTTCACGTGCTGGGTTGGGAGGGTCTCGCTGCGCTTGCCAGGTGGGCACCTCAGCACAGGAACGAGTTCAGTGCGGGAGAAACACGTCCCCGAGCCGCTGGAGCCTCACGCCATCCCGTGTGTGCCGTCCCGTGTGTGCCGCAGTGCTGCAGCTGGGGGAGTGAGCGTGCTCAGCAACCTGCTTCTGCCAGCTAGGCTTAACTTGCAGCCTGCTTTTATGCTCTGTGGTTCGTCTTAGCCATACAGGTGGAAAAAAAAAGGAAATAACTCCTTCTATGTATCTTGGCTATACCCGTTTCCTTCATCTCTTCCTTCTGTACTATCTTTTTAGCCTAAATTTGGTTCATGGCCTTCCCTTAATGTTGATACGTGGGTACCCTTTCCAGGCGGCTGTGGGTGCCCGTTGCAGGCGGCTGTACGACTTTTCGCCCTTTAGGATCCTCTCTGTGCCTTTTCTACACATTCTTTACATTAGGACAGAGCCTTAAGCTGTGCTTGCGAGGCACCTCCTGCGGGGAAGCCTTGAGGTCCTGGTGCTGCTCGTGTTCTGCCCCAGGAGCTCGGTGAGCTTTGCTTGCGCTAGGGGAGGGTGTTTGGAGGGCCTCGGGCTCCCGAGATCTCGCGGTTGGAGAACAGGCTGCTCGCCGTGCCGGGTCTCATCTAGCACCTCAGCAGAGCTGTGGCTCTGCCGTGTGGTGAAGCCGGTGCAGCACAGCGAGGTGTGCGGTTGGAGGCAGCCGGGAAGGTATGGTCGTCTCTCGGGGGAGCTGGGCAGGTGAAGGGAACGGGGGCTCCAAAAACTAACCTGGTCTGCTTTCTCTCCCTTGCTCTCTTCAGATCTTCCCCCTCCGGCAACGAGAGAGAGGCCCCCAGGGTGTAAGACGGTGTTTGTGGGAGGACTGCCGGAAAACGGAACCGAGCAGATCATTATGGAGGTGTTTGAACAGTGTGGGGAAGTCATAGCGATTCGGAAGAGTAAGAAGAACTTCTGTCATATCCGCTTTGCTGAGGAGTTCATGGTGGACAAGGCACTTTATCTCTCTGGTAGGTGTATTTCTGTCTCAGATGGCAGCTTAAAATTCCAGGGCAGAGGTGTCCTGACTTCTTTGTAGTTACAGTGACAGGCTTTGTGGCCATTGGAAGGTTTGGCTAATGTTGTGTCACCTCTTTTTCTGCTGCTGTTGCATTTCTGCTTAGATAGGTGAAAGCAGCTCCTGATAGGAAAGACAGCAATGCTTTGTTACCTGGGTACTGCAAACCTCTGCAGAGCACCGGGGTGAGGTGCCATCAGAGTCCACCCCCATCTTACCTGGATACATGTCCGGCTGAGGCTGTAGATAATGCTGAAGGGTCCTGTAAAAAATTGCAGCCGCTCCATTGCTTGTCAGTTGGGTGGTGGGCTGGACTTTCCTCAGCATTGCTTTTTTCCCTGTCGGTCATCACAGCGGAGGCACCTGGGCTCCTTTTGCCGGGGAGCCCCTGCTCTGCGTCCGTAGGGTTTTAAGAGGTGGTTCTGTGAGGCCAGAGACCTGGTGGTGGGCGTTCGCAGGCTCGGCGTGGCTGGCAGGCGCTGTGTCCCCAGCCAAGCCCGCGTTTGCTGTGCTGGTTACACCTGCCCTGAGCAGCCTGGGCTCGCCGCCTGGCTCTTTCCATCCTAGAATAATACACTAATACTTTCTATTTCCACGCCAAAACCCCTTCCAAATTCGTTCTTTCAGTATATTAACAAACTCCAAAGCCCCTGCTCTCTCTAGGGAGATGAGGTTGTCCGGAGGAGTGAGGGAGGTGCTCTTGCCGTTTAAAATAACGGAGACTTTTCTGCAGTCTGTTTTGACCGCTTGTGAGCGTCGCCTCTCGTTCCAGAGACGGTTCAGTTGGGTTAGACTCACAGCGCCCCGTTAGCAAGAGCCGTGCTGCCCCGGAGCCACGGTCCTGCGCGCAGCCATCCCTGTGCTCCCCCCCCCAGCGCTGTCCCTGGGTTTGTTCTGTGCACAAAGCCTCTCTGTGGTTCAGGCTTCGTTCCGCACATCCCACCTGTGCTCGTCTTGGAGAGCCCTCCGGTCTGTTTGGTGGGCAGCTCCAGACGAGGGGTCCTGCAGCCCGTGCTGGCGACAGGGGTTCCCGCACGGGACGTGCACGTTTGCTGACGTTGTTCCCGCTCCCGCCGGACGATGAGGGCTGTTCCAAGATCGCCGCCATCCATCCGCTGCCCTCTTTGCCGCGTCTCAACTCTCATTTTCCCCCTTCCCATCCCCAGCTTTGGGAGCTGGTGGAAGAATCCAAGGCAGTTCTGCCTTCCCCGTGTGAACTGGGCTCAGTCCCGCAGCCTCAGAGGTTACCTGTGATTAAACAGTCCGAGCCCCAGGACCTGCTGGTGTTTGGGGGAGGAGCAGCCCCCGTAAGGCCTTGCCTGGCACGTGCAGACAGCAGCAAACCCCCCAACAACGTTTCCGTTTCCAGCCTCGCTCTCTGGGCGCTAAACCCTTCAGGAAGCGCTTCTGTTGGGGGGTTTCTGGCTCTGTAGGAACAAGGGATGGGCCCTGGTGGGCGGCTGGGGCCCGGGGTCGGTCACTGTCCTGTCATCGCCGCAGGCTATCGCATCAGGCTGGGCTCCAGCACGGACAAGAAGGACACGGGGCGCCTGCACGTGGATTTTGCTCAGGCTCGGGACGACCTGTACGAGTGGGAGTGCAAGCAGCGGATGCTGGCGAGGGAGGAGCGCCATCGCCGGCGGCTGGAGGAGGAGCGCTTCCGCCCGCCCTCCCCGCCGCCCGTCGTCCACTACTCTGACCACGAGTGCAGCGTCGTCGCTGAGAAGCTGAAAGGCAAGTGGTTCTGCGGGCCGGGCTGGCCCTTCTGTGCGGGTGCTGGGGCGGGGGTTGTGTGCTCCCGTGGGCGTCTGGCTGGGCTGAAGTGATGGTGCCAGCTAGACCTCGCAGGGCCTGGTCAGCCTGAGCCCTCGGCCTGCACGCAGCAGCTCTCCTAGCTCTCTCGTTCGGAATTGTCTGTCTTTTTGTAAAAACAAACCCATACTTGAGGACCACAGTTTCTTCCAAAGCATTTCTGTTCGTGTTAAAAGGACTGGTGCGAGTCCTAAGACCTTCTTTGAACCCGAGACCCACGTGTGGCCTGATTGTTTTGGAGCTGGAGGGTATTTTCTGTCGTGAAAGAGCACATCAGAATAGGCATGTGAAGGTTTCCTGTAGGTTTCCAGCCGTTGGTCCTCCTCCTGTTGCACCCCGGCAGAAGGGTTGCTCCATCGGCTTGGTGGTAGACTTGCCTTCCTTTGTGTAGCCTGGTATTCAGGCAGTTCCGTGCTTTCCGGAGCTGCCATCCGCTGCCTGAAGTAAGTTGAGCTTTGAAAGAGTCCGGCAGCGCCAGGGAAAGGGTCTGAAAGCGGGGCAGGTGACCCTGGACTTCTGCGGTGCAAGGGTGTCCCTTCTCGCTGCAGATGACACAAAGTTCTTGGAAGCCATCCAGACCTTGCTGACCTGGATAGAGCGTGGAGAAGTGAACAGGAGGACCGCCAACAACTTCTACTCCATGATCCAGTCGGCCAACAGCCACGTTCGCAGGCTAGTGAACGAGAAAGCGGCTCACGAGAAGGAGATGGAAGAAGCTAAAGAGAAATTCAAACTTGCTCTCTCAGGGATTCTGGTTCAGTGTGAGTAGCGTTTCCGCCCTGAATGTTGGTTGTCTGTTGGCGTAGGGAAGAGGCTGAATTTCTAGAGTCTGGAGAGGCTGCGCTAAAAGGGCTCCGGGAAAAGAAGCAGCAAATATCATTAACTTGGCAAAAGTTTCTTGTGGTGCTTCTTATCGGAGTAAGAGTCCACATCTGGGGGGAGGAGAGAGTGGATTCTTATTTTTTTTCCTCCTTTAATTATAGTCTATTAGTAGTTCTATCATCTTTTCAACTCCACTTGTGTGCACAGACAAGGTAAGTTCCTGGTAATCTGGTGCCTCAGCGAAGTGTGCAGGATTTATTCGCCAAAGGTAGGATGCAGCAGAGGGTTCCCACTCCCTGTTCTCGGTCACAATGAAAACCTGTTGCAGAGCAGCTTTTCGAACCCGGGTCTTTCAAATCGCAGTGCTCTGTCAAGTCGTGACATGAAGAGGCATGAGCTGTGTTAGTTCCAAGATGCGATTTTTAACAGTTCCCCAAACCATCCGTTGCCTCTTACACGTCCTTCCTTTGGGAAGTCTGAGTATTTCTTTCCATGTTTTGTTTTTTAAGAGTGCCTTCCAGAGTACTTCTCCACAATTGTACCAGGTCTCCTTTGGCGAGGCTGTGAACGTTCTTAACTCTTGGGTTTAATAACAGCTTTGGCTGTTCACTTGTTTGCTGCCTGATTTTTTTTTTTTTAAATATCTTTTTTTTTTTTTTTTAAATTCTGTTCATGGTAAAAAATATGGGCACACAGTCCAGAGGGAACTAAGCAAGCGCTGCAGAGTGAGTGGCAACAGAGAGCAGCCTGCAGCCCCGCTCTGCAAAATGCCCCCCGATCCCTCAGCCCCTCTCGGGTCGATGGAGGCAGCAGAGCTGACCTGTGTCAGGATTAAGCCCGTGACGGTATCGCCAGTGTGAAATAAAGAAAGAAGCGGGGGAGAAGCGCTTTCTGCTGTTGGGTGAGCTCCCATCCCAGGAGAGGCGCTTCGTACTTCCAAAAACCTGCAGATTTTCTGGAGAAGGGGGATAAATCTCAGGCGCTCACGCCGCTGCTGGCCGGCGCCCCAACCCTTTTCCCGCGGCCGCGCTGGGGCTGCGGCGCTGCTGGGTGGGAC